ATGCAGGATGATGACAGTACAGCTTGTTGTGCCTTGTTGCACCTCCCCGGTATATTAAGAACGGCTGCTGTTGCAATCAGTTTAATTTGACGTCACGATTCAATACATTTCATTTGTGTCAGCGGAGAAGCGGCGGAGCGTCAGTAATGAACCTGATTAATCAGAGCCTCCCTCCAACCCTCCTCCTCTTGTCTCTTCACCTCCACATCTCTGCACCTGACTCATCCGGCCGTCCGTCCGTCTGATGACATCTCGCCGACATCCCGTGCTGACATATTCAGACTATTGTGCCGCTCCGGGTGGCACAGGTGGGCCTCGGTCTCTCCAACATGGCCCGGTTACAAGGCGGCGCCGGCTGCCAAGCCGGGGCCCCGTTCATCCGGGGAACAGGGGAGCTGGAATGGGTTTGACCGTATTGTGCTGCACCTGCTTCGCCCTCGCACCAGATCCCCCTGCTTCGCCTGCCATCCTGCCGCCGCCGCCGACAGCGCCGCTCCCCTCCGCCGAGTCCCCGCGCCGTAAAACCCGCAAAATCCACTGAACTTAGCCGCTCTGATGGCCGCGGCCAAAACAGCATCTGATGTGCCTTATTTGTTGACTGTGTGAGATTAGTTGCAGAGGGTACACGTCGAGGGGCTTACCATGCAGAGACGGAGCGGAGCCCCCCCACCCCTCCACCAAACACCCACCAGCCTTGCCAAATAATGAGAAATGGAAGATTCTCCAGCTTGTCTAAAGCCCTTGTCACAGTCGGTCCATGCACACTTCTGCTCCCGAGCCAGACTGTAGAGCAGATACTGTAAGAGGAGCTGCTGGCTGCACAGCTCCCCGCTCAGCAGCCAGCGTCCTGGTCAGTTTTTTGTTTTTTTTTTTTCTGGTTGTTTTTTGTTGTTGTGTCCATAATACCTCAATAGTTGGCGTCGGCCCCGCGCTCTGCCAGGCCTGCATGTGCAAGAATGTGCTTTTGTTTTCTCAGAAAGAGAAGCAAGCAGATGTGCAGCTCAAATCTGTGCACATATCGATGCAAATTCGGTTCTGCAAATCAACCAGGTCTTTTCAGACGGATCGCTGTGCCAGTTCACAACTTCTGAAAGTGGAAAGTTAAAATCGAAATTTTTCCTTCCACGCTCGGCTTCGGCGTGAGCTGGCGATGAATTAAAGACGATTGTGGTCGGCTGCTAGTCACAGCATTTCTGCAGAAACCTGACTTATTAAGGGAACAAACCTGCACTGATTATGATCATCTAACGCCAGAACACTCACCGTCCTCCTGAAGATCACAAATCAGTTTAAAATGTCAACCAGTGTCTACACATGACTGTAGCTTTGGAGACAGCATCGTCTGGACACATGAATAAATGCTAATGTTAGTCCAAACACACTCACTTAGGAGATCAGAGCTCCACATTAGCAGCTAATCAGTTTGGAAATCAGACCCAGGATGCTTTGACCATCACATTCTGCAGCAGGCTGTTGGGAAAATCCAGAAACGTTTGCATGTGTTGGATTTTCACTCCTCTGCTCTCCCACTCTTTGACCTCATTTTGAACCATATTTGGCACATTTTTAGTCCATTAAAGGTCGATTTAGCAGCACAAAGTAGTTTTCCTTATGAAATCTTACGTGTGAGCTGTTGAAACCAACTTATTCAGACGTACAATGACTACAAATCCTGTTTTTTTCTTACATGCTGCCTCATTCTGTACATGTGCACTTTGGTGTACATTCAGTTCAGCAGCTGCACAACCAGCAGAGCTGCATCCAGCCATTACTTACACTGTTGATTGTTTGATTTTAGGGTGATATAGCTCAGTTGGAGGCATTACAGTGAAGATTTAAAGGTCCCTGGTTTGATCCCAGAGTTTCAGGAGTTTGCTTGAGGATTAATAAAGTTATTTTCCACATTCATCAGTTAGTTGTTTGGTCTGAAAATGTAAAAAAGCCAAGATGACTTCCTCAAATGTTCTGTTTTTGCCCACAAGCCAAATATATTCAGTCATAGAAGAAGAAAAACTGATCATATTCACATTTTAAAAGCTGGAATCAGAGAATTTTGAGGTTTTTCTTTCCTAAAAACTACTCAAACCCATTAATCAGTTAGCAAAACGTTTGCCGATTGATTCAGTAGTTGACCATTAATTGATTATTCAGTTAATGGTTGCAGCTTTAACAGCAACAGAAATGTTTCTCAGATTCTCTCTTTCATCTGTATAAATGTGATGACGTGTCAAGTCCTGTCTTTTTATTTTTCTAATTAATCAATTAGTTGTTTGGTCTACAGAATTTAACAATAAAAACCTGAACATATTCACATTTAAGATGCTGAAATCAGAGAATTTTGAGATTTTTCATCGTTAAAAACTGCTGTAATTGGTTGATTCATTAGCAGAATAGTTGGTAATTAGTTTACTTGTTGACGAGTAATTGATTAGTCAATTAATCGTTGCAGCTTTCACAGACACAGAAACAATTCTCCTGCAGAAATGAGTGTCTGTTAACCTGTTTTCTGATCAGTTGTTTGACCTTTAAGATGTCAGATTTCAGCAATGCCTCGTTTTGTCACAACCCAGAAATATTCAGTCGTAGAGGAAGAAAAAATGGAACATATTCACATGGAAGAAGCTAAAATCTGAGAATTTTGAGGGATTTTTTCTTTAAAAGCTTCTCAAATCCTTTAACAGATTATCCCACTAGCTGCTGATTAGTCTATTAGTTGGTGACTAATTGATTAATCAATAATCGTTTCAGCTTTAATAGCAACAGAAATGATTCTCCTGCTTTCTTTAATAAACTGTGAGGATAAGTCGAGTTCTATCTTATTTTTTTTTAATCTAATTGATCAGTTGTTTGACCTGTAAATCTTTAAAGGTCTTGAATTTTGAGGGATTTTTCTTCAAAACTTCTCAAATCCTTCAGCAGATTATCCCACTAGCTGCTGATTAGTTTCCTAGTTGATGACTAATTGATTAATCAATAATGGTTGCAGCTTTAACAGCAACAGAAACGTGTCTCTGTTCACCTGCCAGCTTCACTCTGTCGGCCCATATTTTAGGAACCACCTGCTTTTCTTTAGTTTTTGAGCCTTTTTCCTTTTCTTTGATCCTAGAAGACGTGTTAGAAGACGGGTCAGTTCTGCCATATGACAGGAAAACACCATCACACTACTTCAGGGACAGTTAATAGAGAGTCTGCAGGAACCGGTAACCGCATCAGCAGAAACGACCAGGAGCAGGAAGCGCTTCTTGTGATTTGAGCTGCTATTAAAACATGTTAGAATGAGTCAAAGGACGCAGGCGAATTTTCCGATGACGAGTGAAGCGTAGCGCTGCTGCAGACGGAGACTCGGAGAGACTCGGAGGTTGAGGGAGCCGAGAGGTTGGAGGCCGAGCGGCTGCTGGGATTCGCTGTGTGAGAGCTCCCTCTTGGTGCCGCTCGGCCTACTGTTGGTGAGCAGGAGGAGGCTGCTGCTGCTGCTGCTGCTGCTGCTGAGCCTCGGATAGACCACACAACACACACACACACACACACACACACACAACATCTCATTTGTGGAGCTGTGCTGGCGTTTTGAGTAGAAGGGCTGCTGCAGGTTCACCAGTTGATGCTTTGTTTGATCTCAGCTGACACTAAATGATCAGCTTCGCTTCATTTGTGCTGAATGTGCGTCATGGATTTATCAGTTTCTAGAATGTTTTCATATTTATGTTTGTCTGCTGCTCAATGAATATGATCTTTATCAGTTTGTTTCCTTCATTAATTCTTAGTTTTGGTGTCTTTTGCAAGACGTACATGCAAATATGGAAAGACTTTTCTAATCTTTATTTTTATTGTAATTTTACATGAATGCTATAAAGACAATAATTTAATAATTGTGTCGTTGATAACAGCTTTTTTTTATTATTTGTTCTTAAAAATAGTTTGGGAGTGTTTTGGAAGACATATATACAAATAAAAACAAGCTGTTGTTTTCTTTAATTCTAAATAAAAATATTAGACACAGTGATTTATGATTAGAATTTTTGACAGTAGATGTTTGATTACGATATAAATAAGTTTTGGGAAGTTTTTGATGACATGCACATTTTATTATTAAATTATTTTCTGATGCTTATTTTATGTTTATTTTCAAATAAAAACTTAAAGACAATAATTGGATCTTTGAAATATATATTTTTTAAATTAACATCAAAAAATGTTTTAGGGTGTTTTAAAGAAACAACACAAATATTTTAACTTTTTTTCTGCCATTTATTCTGTTTTAATGAGAATGAAATGATATGTAGATATATTATAGCAGTTTCTTTTTTTATATATATATATATAAAATATAAAAAATGTGCAAACGTTGAATGTTATTATTTATTACTATTATTAATAATGATGTTTTTCTACACTTTTTAAAGGTAATTTTGATACAGATTGTTTATTTCATATTTTAATCCAAACATCTGTTATCACAGACCCAACTATTAAACTATTGTCTCCAAGATTGTTCTGGCTTTTAGTTTGGATGGAAAAACTTTCAGATGATGATTATAAACATCAGCAAATATGAAAATAAATGTCTTATTTGCTGTTTTAAAAAAAAAAACTGCTGTGAAATCTGAAGTGTAAGTTGATTACAAAAGTTCTAATTCTCTCTTTGTGTGTGTGTTTCATGTTCAGGGTCGGTGTATGAATTTCAACCGTGTGCAGCGTTAGTAGAGGAAGAAGAAGAACTGCTGTGTGAAAAACCAACATGTGCTGATCGCTGTGGACCAGAGAAGACTTTCAGGTTTTATTGTTTCGTTTTGTTTGAAGACGTGTAATCTGCAGCTGAAACCACTATCAGTTCACTCCGCTTCACTTTGTGCACAAAGTTTCCTCCTTTGGTTCTCTGCCCTCAGGAGCACACAGGGTGAAATGTTCATATTCTTTAAGTTATTTACTACCTTTTTTTTTTTCTCCTTACAACCAAATCTTTTTTTTTTGATATATATATTATTAAAATTTTAATTAATGAAAAGACATTTAAAAAAAAAAAAAAAGCAGAAGCATTCAGACTCGGTTAGCTTTTCATGCGCACCAAAGGCTTAACATATTCTGACCATATTGTGCCTTCTGTGAAAAACCTAATTTCATGGACACAGACGGAAGCTTTAAAAAAAAAAAAAAAAAAACGCAGAGAGAGAGAGAAAGAAAGGGGGCCGTTTGCCTTTGGCGTGGAAGTCGGAATAATCCCAGTGGGCCTCACAAGTGCAGAAGTCGGCTGCCTTTTGGCAACGTCTCATCACGACTCCTCTCCAACTTCAGCGGTGCCGGATGCCTGGCGGCTGCTCTTTGACTGGCTTATCTTGTCATTTTAACACTGAGAAGTGCACACGCATGAAAAATTGTAGACAGGACGCCCCAAGGTATTGGAAGACTTTGCCCTTTAGTTTTTTTTTTTTTTTAAAGACACCTTCTTTTCATTATGCACTCGGGACAAGGGAAATTAATAGAGCGTTATTCGACCGCGGGACAGCCTCCTGACCACGATGAGCTCCAGCTACGTTTGAGGGATTGATGCCTTTAAGACCTTGACATGGCGCTTGGTGTTTTTTGCCCCTGTTTTTCGGCGCAGTCTGCTCCGTGCTCGCTAAGGCGTGGCGCATCACAAACAGGCCCATCAGTTCGGACTTTTTTTAAAGATACAGATAGATGTTCGTCGGAGGGGGCCGCATCACAACTCCAGTGGCTCCCTCAGCGACCAGAATATCAAAGTTTAATTAAAATAATTAAAGGCAACAGCAAGCAGCAGCCTGTGAAGACTCGGCTTGTCTCTTTTTTTACGCCTTTTGACATTGAATGACCTATTACAGGAAGGGGAAAAAAAAAAAAAGCGGCGCCGACGTCCAAAACGCAAACCCAAAGCAACGGATGCGACGGACGGATAAGTATTGTTCATTTACACAAAATTATGTCCCCCCTCTTTCCTCCTCCTCCCTCCGCACCCAACCCCAAAAAATATATATTTATGTATATTGTGGATTTCTCAAGCGCGCTGTCACGACGCCAATCCCAAATGATGTCAGTGCGAGCGGAAAAAACAGTGGTGGGGGGGGAGGAAAAAGGGGGCAGCAGCTGAAGAAAAAGGCTCGAATGATCCAGTCACTTCGGATACCGTACTTCAGATGCAAAATGGATATTCGAGTCGAAACCTGACAAAGCGTGCCGGCTTTGACGGGAAGCGGTATAGACAATGACCAGTGGCTGGGTCAGTGGGATGTCTCTGTGCAAGCAGGGAAGCTTATCAAATGACACTAAAAATAAGTTCAGCAACCGTCAAGTTTGAGGGCGAGCGGCTCACATTTTCGGCGAGCGACACGACGCCCTAATTAATCCTTTGTTTCCTCCTTTCGTCCCGATTGGACGTAAATAAAACGAATCCTCGGGGTGCGCTGGTGTTTATGTCCGACTTAAACGCTTCTCTAGCCTCTTGCATAATTTTTGCAGACATTTAATCGGCTCATCGGGCTCCTTTTTGGAAATGTTTTTACGTTACAAGCACAGGAATGTTATTAACCCGAACTCATGCAACATTTACACACTGTGTCGTTACTATAGTGGTTGTACATGAAGGAGGAAAAGTTGAATTGTGCCTTTTTTTATACAAGAAAAAATAAGTATTTTTGTATTTTTTTTTATCAGTTTAGCTTTTAGTTTGTCAACATTTCCACCAAATTTGTTTCGTGTGACTTGCATGCACTACTTCCTGCTTGGCACAATGTAATTTATCGTTTTATTATCTTGATTGTATCTTTTATACTCACGTAGCACCTTGAAGTCCAGGTTCGAGTCGCACAAGCTGCACAATGTGTGCGAGTCGCAACCGAAACACACCCCAAAAAAAATGTAAAAAAAAAAAAAAAGTCTTTTTATTACGACGCTCTTTTCTGAGTTTTTACACTGTTTTTGTTTTTTGTTTTAATAATTTTTTATTTCTAGTCATTTCTGTTATTGTGTTACACTGCAATCTGTTGTGTCAAATATACATCCGATAAAAAAAGGTGTTTTTGTGTCTTTTTTTGGTTGGTCTTTTTAACACGTGTGTGTGTGTGTGTGTGTGTTGCTGGTAGGGGCGGACGCGCTGAAGGCCATCTTTAATTGGGCCCTTGCAGATTTATAGGGCCCGACAGGGAACGTGATTATACAGAGAGTGTGCGGACAGAGCAGTGGACAGTGTGCAGCCTCTCCCCCCGTGAAGTCGGTCACCGGAGGCGTCGCACAAACACACACGGACAACACACGGACACGCAAAAGCCCTCCGAGGTCTTCACCGCCCCAAAAAAGAGGTCTTGCATTTAGTAAAAAAATATGCGCTCCTACACCTTCTGCTTTGTCCACATTTGCATGCTGTGACAAGATGCCAGCTGAGGTGTGTGTTAGTGTGTGTGTGTGTTAGTGTGTGTGTGTACTGTATATACAATAAGCCCTCCACCATGTTGCTCGACCAAAAAACCACCACTTTCTTGTTTTAAAAAAAATGAGGATTTGACGTCATTTCTGGCTCAAAAGGTGCGAAGGAAGCACTTTAAAACACACTCATGTAAAGACAGAATGAAAAGTTGTGCAGACACACAACTGAACGCATGAAATTCATCAAACCTTCACATGAATTCACCTTTTCTTTACTTGACACCGAAGAATACGAGCAAGTTTTTCCTCTAAACCTGCTTCTTTTCTGCAAACTAAAGCGAAATATAAACGCAAAGTGATCAGTCGGCTTCACACGTGTGATTATGAAACTCACAGGAAATGAAAAAACAAAAACAGTCCTTCAGGTGTTTAAAGGCAGAAAAAGTTTATCATTGATTGATTTTCAGATCTGATGTTCTTTTTATTTTTCTGATTATCAGTATTGTTACTTTTTGGATTCATTTGAAAATCTTTCTAACAAGTTTTGTGTTGGAGTTTGTCTTATTCTGAATTTGAAGGTTTGTTTTAAATGTATTTCAGTTCCAATTATTTGCTTCTGGTCTCCTGGATTGGTCATAATAATAATCAATATCTGTGTCGGCCCGAAAATAATAACACATCAACCATTTAATCAAGCTGGTTGCGTTTACAAGGCGGTAAAACCAACTTTTTCTTTTTAAAACTTCATTTATCGTAGGTTAAAGTTCAGCAGTTTAGTCTTCAAGGTGCAGCTAAAGTCTCAAAAGTCAAAGGATTAGGTAGAATAAGTGTCATTTTAATGTGTTCATTTCTCGTATTTTATGAGCGTTTGGATTAAAAATCTCATCTGTAAATCAACTAGTAGCTGTCAAACAAATGTAGTGGAGCTGAAGTGATCCTTTAAAGTCGTCAGCTGAAGTAGTTAAAGTAGTTAAACTGTAGTTTTATGTACAGTCAGTGCACCAGAACTGAATATTTCTGTTTCTAATGTGTGTTTTCATTCAGAAACACTAAAAAAATCAGCGTCTCAAATGTAAAGCGTCGCAAGAACTTTAATAAACCTGATTAAAATGAATTGTTTTCTGCTGTATAACAAATATAAAATCCTAGATACTGTAAGTTCCAACACTTTCCTCTGCATCACGTCATCCTGCAGGAATACAGCTCTGAACTGAATCATGTTTAAGATTAGCAGAAATTAATTCAAGTCGAGTGAACTTTAAGTCAGAATAAATAATCAGTGTAATAATGTAGAATCATGATGAGAATCTGCCTTAACTTCAGACTACACACATTAGAACACAGCCAAACTCCACACAGACGTTCTGACTTTCCAGCAGCTGAACTGACGAACCGTAAAGACACAACAAGAGTCATCAGCTCTTCGTTTCCTCAAGCCTTGATTACAATTTTTTTTTTTTCTCAAAAAGCAGCTGCAACAAAACCAGACCAAAAAAAAAAAAACTTCTCCAAAAACGGGTGACTCACTGGATCTCTGTTTCATCCTCAGCAAACAAATCTGTGTCATTCTGACCCGCAAAAAACACGAGTCGACGCTAAATAAATCACCACTTTGAGCATATTAGTGCTCTCGGCCGAGCGGTTCGCGCCGACACACTTGTGTTTTTAAAAATCGCAGCTTTGTTGGAACATCAGCTTATCTGCTGTGTTTGCTCAGATCAGCAGCAGCTTGTTGTTTTAAACGCAGCAGGCTGCAGGAGACGCTAATCTGACTTTAGTATTCATCCTGCACAAGTGGACGCTCGTACACTCCAGTCCCACAGTCCGCTGGTTGTTACTGTCAGAACAAGATGTTTGCTGCAAAGATTCATCCACATATTTATATTTAAGCAGGTTAATAAGTGAAGGAATAAATTAATAAAACTCGAATGGAGGAAAGTGATAACCGCATGCATGAATGAAAAGAAACGGTGGATGATGTAATAGATTTTAGATAAAGCTGCAAAAAAATCCTGATATCTGAATAAAATTTTCATGCAATTTTGCAGAAAAAGCAAACTTTAATTATAAGTTGGCCTCTTAACTGTACATTATGTACATTTATTATGCATTTCTTCCACTTTAAACATTGTTTATTTCTGTCATTTTACAACAGAAACTCACTTTTTTGAACCCTGTTCGTCCACATTTCATGCAAAGATGTTAAAACTTGAACTGTTTGCAACGTTTATGTAACTTTATATCTTCGGTTTTGCATTTTTCTTTTTGGTCATGATTTTTAGCAATAACTACAAAAACATAGGGAGTGGATTCAAAAACATACACAGGAACCAAAGGAGGGGGTTGGGGTACCAAAGTGGGCCAAACCACATTTCATGTTTTAGAGAAAATTGGAGTCAAAATTTTATGTTGCATAAAAAATAAATCCTGGTCATTGGAGGAGTCGTTCTGTGCATCCGAAGATGTTTCAACTGTCCAGAGATAGAAACAGCTACGTAGTGATGACTTATTGAAGTTTTCATTTTGCCTTTTCTTTTGCTGAGTGACACATTTACTACTTTTTGAAGAAAAAACTACTTTTGTCTTCTAAACAGCATTGAAGAGTTTAAATGGGTCATCAAATGGAACTAGAGCTACTTCTGAGGACCATGGGGTAGAAATAGATGCCTGGTGGTGGTTCCTTACCGTACCTACGAGTTGAGTTTTCACTGGGCTTGTCTGCCATCTTGAATCACAAACATGTTGCAACGACCTGCGATATAACGGTCAGCAGTTCCTTTGGCTTGGTCCAGTTTGCTACTAAACTTTCATGCCAAAACTATTATGGGCCAAACTTCAAAGTGGCATTGTGACATTACTAGTGGGATGTTGGTTGGACCACTTTGCCACCAACTAGTAGACCATAAACACTTATCAAAAACAACGTAAACTCAGCTTTGGATTTCTTGTGGTTTGGCCTGCTTTGACACTGAACCCCTCACCTGAGAATCTGTTGCAGCGAAATGCATCCAGTGAACTTTTCTGTGCAAATTAAGTGAAGTAGTTTCTAGATGTTAGCATCAGAACTGCAGAAAACAGCTCCTTCTTGACGGTAGGAAGAAGTTAAAGTGTAACTCTGGAAAAACCCTAAAACAATAAATAAACGATGAAACACACAGATGCTCAGTTCATCTCCTCAAAACGCTCGTCACATATTTTCACAGTTTTTTTTCCCTTCCAGTTCCGCTGCACACTGAGGCCTCTTCATATAGCAGCATACTGCCACTCCAGCTTATACATCGTGCGATATGTAAATGCGTAGTAACACACAGCCATAGTAGAGCAAACAAACTAGTTTGGAGATGAAAAGACATCTGAGAGGAGAATAAACCGGCTGGAATTACCCAAAAGATGTCATGTGTTTAAAGAAGCTCAGGCGCTGCAAATATTCTCGATTTTAGCAGCAGAGAAATTCACAAATGAGATACAAAACAGATACATGATGGTTTGCAGAGTGGAAAAAAAAACAAACTTTTGTGGGGCAAAGTTGTGAGAAAACTTCACGTTTTTAAAAGCGTCGAATTCTGAGGGAAAACAATCGTATTCGGGATCCTGCTTTTGGAATAAAAGTGGCACATGAGGACAGCAGCATCCGAAGGTCTTTGCATTCTTCTATTTTTATATTAACGCTCGCCGCCAAGAAAACACCGAGCAAACTCCCAAATCCGCCCTGAGCCGTGCCACAAGGTTCTGTTTTCGCAATTTGATGGAGGGGGCTTAGCCGCCGTAAAATTTCAACCTCCACTTCCCCTGATAAAGTTTCTCTGGCAGGCAGCGACGTGGACTTAAGCAGCTGTTGCCCCCACGAAAAAGCCCGTCTGGCTTCGGCAGGTTATCCCCGATTTGCACAGTTGTCTCTGAAATTTGGGTAACTGCGGGATCAACGACGCCGCGGACCCCGCTTGGATCCAGAGGGCGGCCCATCCGCCCCGAGAACAGCTTGTTAGAGTTGACACTTGATTTTATGCATTGTATTTCTGAGAGCATTACAACTAAATCCCCCTCTCAGGCGATATGCAGGGCTGCTGTTCACTGACGGCTGCGGAAAATGCAGGTGGGGGGATTAGGAGAGCTCCGCGGTTTGGGATTTCAGAGCTTTATCTTGATGCTCTTTTCTGTGAGCTTGCTGTGATTTTTTTTTTAAAGTCCCAATATACTATATATGCTGATAAAGACTTAGGACTCCTGTAAGATGATTAGACTGCGTGTCAGCCACGGTGTACGCTTATTTCGAGGGAGGTGGCGGTAAAACTCTCCCAACGTATATGTAACAGAAATCCAGCCACAAAGCTCCGTCGTAATGAATCAGGAGGCAATAAAATGTGAGGCTTAGAGAACCGAGGTAGAATACAACTGTGTTGACTCAAGTTCTGTGCATGATTACACTTTAGATGTGCTTTTACTTGCATTATTTTACAGCTAGAACTTTGCCCGTTAGGATTTTTTTCCATTAAAAACGTATAATCTGCTTTAAAAATCCGATGCAGGATTGTGTTTTAATCCTTAAACCGGTTTAATAACAAATAACTGTCAGGTACTAAAGGCTGGTCCAGTTTGTAAAGGTGTTTATTTATACTTAATTAGATAGTTCTGATTAAAATGTAGGAGCTT